GTATAGGGTCAGAGAAAGCGACTTTGTTTTATGCTATGTAGCGAATATTTTAACTCAGATGAAGTTATATCGCCTTTTACAAATCTGTCATTGTTCTTACAGGACGATATTTGAGCTTTGTTTGAAGGCGAAACGGAATGGCGACCTATTTAGCTATATGTATTATTTATATTCGTTCTTCCATCTTTTGTTATAGAAAATATTTGCTGGACAATATGTCCGAGCTTTGAAAAGCGTATTACAATTAAATTTCTACAGATCTTATTAAGTTTTATATAGGAAATTATAAATTATTAAACCTTTCTATGTAGTTTTAAGGAGATTGAAGTGATGGCGTTTGTTAGTGAAAATTTGGAATTTAACATTGAATTGTGTGATTTCAAAATATCTCTGAGACCTAACGTAGTCCTAAGTATTATCAAGTCTCTGTAAGTTTGTTTTCTGGTTAATAGTAAACCTATAATTAAAAGAACAAAAAATCAAACATAAGAAATACTTTTGAAGATCATCAATGGTAATTTAAATATCGAAAACTATTTATCTAAATTATTAAACAGGCATTTGTGGCCAGTAATATGTTAAAACCTTTTTGTTGTTGTTACAGTATAACAAGTTAACGCGTCATTATAAAAATGTCGTCATTCCATTAATTGGTAGTCCTTTAGACAGGCTTTAATTAACGAGGTGGCCGTGCCTCACCTGTTCAAAGCCTCTCAAAGGTTTCTCTCAGTATTTTGCAAACATAGACGAAATTATTTAGTTAGTTTGCGACTATAAGGAGGTATTATGAAAATAACTAAGGTAAACTGTTTGGCAACGTTAATTAAAACATATTTTTATATCAGAACAGTTCTGCTCGTGGGTGTCATTTTATCCTATTAAGGACAACATTTTATTCCGGTTCGACCGCAGTGCTTAACCAAAAACTGCCAGAAGATCCTAGTCTTCCTACCTCCATCCACATTCCCCAAATCCCACAATCAATCGCCAAAGCATGTCAAAGCAATCGGTACTATTCATAAATCACCAGAAATATCGAAAAGTAACCTCACTCACCGTGAAAGAAAGCTTGCGTTGCATTATCGCAAACATTGTTTGACGCCGGGTTGATGTGATATCACTCTGGTCGAACTGGCCAATTCGTGCCATAACATGGCCCTTTCCTCAAACATTTAAAATTGAATAAGTTTTTATGTGATAGGGTGGCAAACGAGCGGACGGATTACTTGATGGTAAGCAATCAGCGCCGCCCATGGACACCCGCAACAACGAAAGAGTGCGTTGCCGACTTTTTAGGGATTGGGAAGGGATTGGGGGATAGGAAAGATTGGAATATGTGAAAGTTGGTTTCTTCAAACTTATTACTCAAAAATACTCAATTTCGTAGATAAAAAACGTTCTAGAAAAACCTTTATACTATTATCCAAATCAATTTGTCTTAGACATTGCCGCCGCCAAGAATCGATAGGATCCACTTCAGTAATCAGGTCCCGATCTCGTTCCTCTCCAATGAATTTCCAACTTTACGACTTTTCACATAAAGTACATTTTCATTTTGAGCTTGATATGAGGGACGGCATTAAGAATTATTGCCTTTGAAGAAATTGAACTATTAATACTAATTTGATTACTTAATTTTATGATTAAATGTTTACCCCAAGATCCTATTTGCTTTGAAGCTTTGAGAACTATAAAGGTATATAAAATAAAGAATCATAGAATATATTATGTCCTTATAATATATGTCTCTTTTTGAGGGAGAAAATGATCAAATTGTTTGTCCCGCTGTCATTGGAGCGAGAGGGCGTATCAGAGTCTTACTGCCAAGAATAACCATCCTTTTCTTTATCCTGCTGAGTTAGGGCCGCGATGCATTGCACTTGCACTTGCATTCAAAACTCAAACAAAGTTAAAGATTTAAAACTGAGTGAATGTATGTATATGATGTTGGTACGTTTCGACGCCTTCATAATTATATTTTCACGACAAAAGCAAGTGGGACATGCTTCATTAAAATAAAATTACGTTCTATTTTCAAATAATGACTGTACAAACACATTATGAAATATGCCCGTTATATATATTTAAGGCTCTTGTTTTTTAGTAAAAAGTTTTTAGTCGTATTAATTTTAGCAATAAAATAAGCTAAAAGGGCCAAATATTTATCAGACGAGCTTAAGCTCTCTTTAATTCTGTTCTTGTCAAAAATTTCTCAGCTAATGGTTCGCAATATCGCTCGTGAGGGCCTGAGGGAACGGGCGGAATTCCTCTCAGACCTCCCTCCCTCCCGACGACAAAGCCTATTTAATAAGGACTGCGAATTGCGAAACTATAGACCCGACGGGTCTCTGGATCGTCAACTTTTTTATTTTAACTTAAATGGAGTTTCAAACTGTTTTTAATTAAATTCGTCTTTCAAACTGTCTTGTTCGTTATAGAGGTTGCGTTAAGAATTGTACTAATAGTAAGAAGCTTACGTTTTTATTTTTTATTTTCAGTAAAAGATAAATAAAACTGTAAAGATATGGGTGTCCATGGGCGGCGCTAATCACTTACTATTAGGTAATCCGTCTGCGTTTTGCCTCATATTCCATAAAAAGCAACACAATAAAATACCATTCTCATATAATACAACCGTAACTAAACCAAACTGTGCTTCTAAAACAACAAGACCAAGTTTAAATTAGAACTTCATTGAAGAGCTAAATAAACATGCTTCGTCGTAGCTCGTAGTCCGTAGCTCGTAGCCCGTAGCGTCGTAGCATCGTAGCGTCCTTGCAAGTGACGGGGCATGTGAAATGATTAATTATCAAAGTGGGAGCCTCCCCGTCGCTTCATGACATAGACCAGACGTTTGTTTACTACAATAGCCTGATGTACTGTCTTCAGGCTTTGTTAGGCAGGCTTGAATAGAATTCTGTGACAATATTATGCATATGTATGTACTTATGTCGGTATTGTGAAAGAGACTGTGTTTGTAAGTGTAGGCGATGTTTAGTTGTGTTAGTTCTTGGTGCTTTGTTTAGTTTGAGGCTATTGATACCTGTTTAATAGTAGTATTACTTTTCGACCTGATTAAAGAGAAACGGTGTTTTGTTTGGGACGACTGTTAGTGATTAAGTTTCGAAAGAGGAATGAAGTATCAAGTAAAAATAGTTGTTTAATTGTTCGATTATAAACGTGAAAGTAAAAATAAAGGATAGATGGATGAATATAACTCTAAAACTGCTGAACAGGTCTAAATGAAAATTTACACATAAATAGATTATCGTCTAAAACTACACATGATTAAACTATTATTCATCCGAGTAACTCAGACAAAGCCGCTGTCACACGCTTATAGGTAAATATGGTATACATATCTACCTGTGTTTTCTTAACTTTGGCACTACCCAAAAATAAAAGCATGGTTTACATTTGCTGATAAAACGTATTCTGTACGTACGACTAAGTTAATGAGCCGTGAAGTTTGTGGCAGTCATCAATTGGTACCGAGATACACTTACTATACATTTCAGTGACGAGGTCAGCTGGGCGGGGAGGTCACAAAGTTAATGGTCCGTTCACATAGAAATAATACGTTATATGATCACAACAAACGAGTGAAATTATTTCTTTGTTTATTTATTTATTTATTTAATAAAACTTTATATTTTTAAATTAACAGGCGGACATAATGCCTTAGGCATTGTCTAACATTTTTTTTGTGGGAAATTGGTTATCTGATTGTAAGCAATCAGTGCCGCCCATGGAACACGCACACCAAAGAAAGAAAGAAAGAAAAACGAAAGAAAGAAATTTATTTTCGCGCAAGCGCACACACATAAAACAAAAATACAAAAAAAAAGAAGAAAATGAAATAATACTAAAAATCTAAACTAAATGATACATATAAAAATTAAATGACTTAAAAAATTAATAACAAAAAAAAAAACTTTTGTCTATGGTCCACAGAGTATAACATTATGCGTGATGTCCCGTGTATTTTTTATAATCTGTGGACCATAAGGACAAGATAGTAGCATTTGTGTTTGCACAGCAGTTACAAGTGCAAAGGAGTTACAAGTGCCATGCCGATTTTTTAGGATAAGGGTTTAGGATATTTAATGATTAGGAAGGTATGGGGATAAGGGTAGGGATTGGGCCTCCGGTGATCTCATTCACACGGCGAGACGTTGTTTCACGCCGGTTTTCTATAAAGCAGTGGTATCTCACTGGTACTTGTACTTAGTCACATCACAGTCAGTCTCAATTTACTATTTTATGAGTTGATAAGTTTCATGCTATCGATCTCTTTGGAAAGGGCAGGTCTACTACATTTCAGTTTGTTTTTGAGAATTTTGAAATTGGAAATCCTATTAATAACCTCGCTTGCAAATCCAAGTGATAAAGTTATGTACATATTTGAACTGAGATTTTTAAAAGTAACGAGATAAAAAGAAATTATATTTATGACTTTAAAAAGTTTAGTAATCAGATGGTACTTAATGTAGTTATCTAAAATTTGTAAAAATGAATGGATGTTTGTAAATCTGTTGTCAAATGTGTGTATGGTGGTGTATAACAAAGTAAGTGTGTAAGTGGTTGAGTATATTCTGTAATAGGACATCGGCTTCTACAATATGTTTCTTAAAAAGAAATTCTAAGTACGCAGTTATGTATATCTACATGTAAAAAACGCTATGGTTTTATCGTGATTTTGTTAATAAGTAAATGTATTGAAACAAAAAATATAGCGGTATAAGATTATCCCTCTAGAAAACGTTTCGTGGTATTACATTATTCATTTGATTCTCTTCACTTTGCGGTGGGCGCTGAGTCCGAGTTAACTCGTTGGTTATAATGAATGAATAATTATTTCTTGATCTATAAATGTGAGTTTATAGTGAGTCGGACTTGATACCAATGCTTTTTATGATAAGACTATTGTATGTAATTAAATATTGTATGTAATTAAAAATAACAGTTTTTAGCATTCTCTATTATTCTATGTAGGTAATATGGTAGGTATCTGATTATGTGTGTGTTACTGTTAATGTAAATAGATATTTTAATATCCTAAAATAACAATTTTATTAATTTATTTTAATTTAAGGCTGATTTTTCAATAGCCATAGATTTAAGTGTGGGAGAGCCATGCTTCGGCACGAATGGGTCGGCTCGACCGGAGTGATACCACGGCCTCACAGAAAACCGGCGTGAAATAACCACTGCGTTGTGTTTCGCCGTGTGAGTGAGGTTACCGGAGGCCCAATCCTTCCCCTTCCCCAATCCTTCCTCAATCCCTAAATCTCAAAATCCCTAATCCCTAAAAGGTCGGCAACGCACTCGTAACTCCTCCGTTGCGAGTGTCCATGGGCGGCGCTGATTGCTTACCATCAGGTAATCCGTCTGCTCGTTTGCCGACCTATTACATAAAAAAAGCCAGATAAATGACACACACAGTGATAGCAACAATTTTATTCCTCAGATAAATAAAATTGTTGCTGTCACTGTCTTATACAAACATTCTGACGCGACAGAATCATAATCCCCCGGATAACTTTTATCTAACCATTGAAAAATCAGCCCTTAAGGTACATTAAGACGATTTGGTACTTATACTGTAAGTCTATTTTGTTGAATAATTAAATTAACAAATATGTATGACACTGATTCCCCATTCAATTTATATCACTTTTTTAAATTAATCTTAATAATTTATGAGAGTAAACAGACTCAACGGCTCTGTTTTTCCAATTAGTACTTAATGACCTTCATATTATAATCCATATTCCTCTGTCTGTTGGCCAGGACAACCAGCGTCTTTGTGTTGTACTACAGTTACAACGAATTCGTTCGATAGATCTCGGGAGAGGTCGGTCCGTCCGAAACGTACCGACATTGACACACCCATCTGTCGCTATATTTATTGGAAAATATATCGCTATAAACATCGCTTTCTTTCGTACAAGTCAAAGCTGTATCAATAAGGTTTATAGTTTTATTCTATGTAACTCAGGTTATATTTATACCAAGAAGGTATCTGTCAATTATTTACACGGACGTGTATGTCGTTTTGCCTTTCACCACCTTTATTATTTTCGAGGGTTGCGTCAAAGCTAAGCTACACACATTCATTTTAACAAAGTCTTTAAAGGTCTAGCCGGGGTTGTGTGTGCAAGCTCTCTATCGAACCGCGGCTCAGGCTCGAAACAGGGAAAGCAACAGGCTGGTTAAGACAGTAAAAGTGTTCTCTGGTTTAAAAAAAAGCGCTCATAATACCCCCAACTTTTTGATGAATCTTCGACCCGCCTACCAATCGTGGACACCACAAGCTGTTCTAATAAATTAAGTATTTTTATTGCATAATGCAGTGAACGAGTATTCAAATCATCTGATGATAACAATGCAACACGATAGGAGTTACAAATGCATTGCATAGCGGGGGGATTGGTCTCCGATAATCTCAATTTTGACACGAAATCAATGTAAACATTGTTTTTTTCACACTAGTTTTATTTTTTTGAGGCCGTAGTATTTTACTCGGGGCGCATTCGTGCCGAATACTAGCTCTCAATTTGTTAATGTTACATATTTAACACTTAATTACAAAAGTTTCCTGAAGTCATTAGTCACTTACGTGGAATTCGTACCCCTTCTGTAGGTACCCTCATACATTATTTACCGGAATTACCAGTAAGGTAAATGTTCTCAGAAAATGCCAATCAGTAATTACGTAGTGGCGTCGAATCTAGGTCTTTCGTCGAATGTGCCCTTAGCTGTAACGTATTATGTAATAGCTTCGTCATTCATTGATTCTACAGTTACAAATTATTGCTTTATTTTTTTATTTAACAGTTTTATTCACACACATCATACTTATATCATAAATGCAAAATTCTGTTAGTATGAATGGATAGATATTTGTTAAGTACCTTTTCACGTTAAACTACAGAACGGATCCGAATGAAATTTGGCATAGAGATTGATAATAGTCTGGAATAACATATGGATACTTTTTTCCATGGTACTTTGGGCGAAGCCACCACCAGAAACTATAATATACTCATAACGTATAGATTTTATCTCCAAAGGGCTTGGCAGAGTTACCAATATTTTTTTGTGTATCAGAAATAATACAACAATCTCGTGCACCCCAATAATTCTTAAGATATCCGGCATTCATGCTCGGTAGTCGTACTTTTGACCACTTTATCACCTAAGCATTATTTTATTAATGTATGATAATATGATTAAGAAATTTCTCTTCTCAGATGGCGCGCTTCGTAACGATAACCCCTGATATGAGTGAGGCTGTGATACTGCATCTGAGGAACAACTTCTTCGCTGACGAGCCGCTGAACAAGGCTGTCTCCCTGTGCCAGAGGGGGGAGCCTCACGCAGCGCTCGAGAGGCTCTGTGCTGTCACCATCGCCGATGGACTGTCCGTCGCTGCTGTTGAAGGAGATACGGTAACTGAACTGATTTTGGTACTTCATTTTCTTTTATCTTAAAGTTAGAAGTCTTAAAGTTATGATGTCATCAAAACTTTGTTATAAGGAACGAACTATATTAGCTATTCACAACAAAATTAATGTTTTTCAGACACGTCTTTGTGCTGTTTAATTCGTTGTAAAAAAACTCCTTATCAAACAAGATTCATTTTTAGTTTAGGTTTTTGTTACACACAAAAACTGTCTACCTTTTTTATGTAAACGATCGGCAGACGAGCAGACGGATTACCTGATGGTAAGCGCCGCCCATGGACACTCCCAACGGAGTAGTTACGAGTGCGTTGCCGACCTTTTAGGGATTAGGGATTTGGAGATTTAGGGATTGAGGAGGGATTGGGGGAGGGGAAGGATTGGGCCTCCGGTAACCTCACTCACACGGCGAAACACAACGCTGTGGTTATTTCACGCCGGTTTTCTGTGAGGCCGTGGTATCATTCCGGTCGAGCCAACCCATTCGTGCCGAAGCATGGCTCTCCCACACTTAAACTACCTTCCTTCAATTTCAAATACAAAAACTGACTCAATAGTTTAGCCGGTAGGCCTCGAGGTCCTAAGCATGCCAGCGGCCGGCGTCTTCCCCGACAATGCGTAGGTGGTGGTATCGTCGGCGGTGAATAGACTACTAAAGAAAAACCTTGTTCTGTAATCAGGCTGCTGATGATTACATAAATGCTAAAAATCATTTCCAGGTTTTAGGAGTAGGTTTGAACGGCATCTTATGACCCGGAGACATCGAGCAATCGATTGAAAAGATCCAACAATCGTCTGATGAGAAGTACAACAAGATTTTCACCATTTTGTACTCTGTCAGCCAGGAACTGGACCTGTTCAATACGTTTCAAGTGAGTTCTACTAATTTTTATACCCTCATTTTTTTCTACCTGTCTTAAGATATAATTGAGAGATTTTTTTGTCACATTGATTTAAAATTCTTATCTCAAAACTTAAAAATACTTAGTCGGGTCATAAGTTCTGTCAAAACCTTATATTTTTAATTTTCGATTACTGGCCAGAAATTCTTCGACTTATTTTAAAAATAGAACTTTCGCGCTTGTAGAAAATAAAAAAGAAATTATTTTTTATTCATTTTTAAATATGGAGTGGTCGAATAAAGAAGACAGAATCGCGGTTATCGCGTTGCACCGCTGTGGTTACGCGCCAAAAGACATTTTCAATATTCTTCAAAATTTGAAAATAACGTTACGGTTTGTTTATCGTACTATCAAACGATACACCGAAGAGTCAAGCTTCGAAGATCGTAAGAGAAGCGGCCGACCTCGCACAGTTCGGACACATAAGGTCATCAAAGCAGTGAAGGCGCGAATCGAACGAAATCCCGTACGTAAACAAAAAATCCTAGCTCTGCAGATGGGGCTAAGCAGAACCACTGTTAAAAGAGTACTAAATGAAGACCTGGGACTACGAGCTTATCGTAAAAAGACAGGACATTTTTTGAACGAGCGTTTAAAAAAAATTAGGCTAGACAGATCCCGCGCTTTGCTACGACGGTACGCGGGAAAAAAATACCGATAAATTCTTTTTTCGGATGAAAAAATTTTTACTATTGAAGAAAGTTTTAACAAACAAAATGATAAGGTGTATGCCCACAGCAGTGAAGAAGCAAGCGCGCGTATTGCGAGGGTCCAGCGTGGGCATTACCCTTCCTCATTCATGGTTTGGCTTGGAGTCTCATATTCAGGCGTAACTGAGGTGTTTTTCTGTGAAAAAGGTGTGAGAACTAGTGCCGAAGTTTATCAAAATACTGTCCTAACAAACATAGTGGAACCTCTTTCTCAGACAATGTTCAGGAACAGGCATTGGATATTCCAACAGGACTCTGCACCGGCTCATAAGGCACGAAGTACGCAAGACTGGTTGATCGCTCGTGGAATTGACTTCATCCGGCATGAAGACTGGCCCTCTTCTAGTCCAGATTTAAACCCACTGGACTACAAGATATGGCAATATTTGGAGGAAAAAGTCTGTGCTAAACCTCACCCGAATTTGGAGTCTCTCCGAGCATCTCTGGTTAAAGCAGCGGCAGACATAGATATGAATGTGGTGCGTGCAGCGATCGATGACTGGCCGCGTAGATTAAGGGCATGTGTTCAAAATGGGGGAGGGCATTTCGAATAATGTAAATAAAATTATATTGTACATTTAATGACCTTTCATTTCATATATAATTTTTAAATAATTGTCAAAAGGCGTATAAGTTATTACATCAAAAGTTTGTGACAGAACTTATGACCCGACTAAGTAGATATTTATATATTTTTCAAGATTTAATTAGAAATCAAATATTACAATAACCTTCAGAGAAACTAAGAAAAAACTACAGTTTTTTAAACTCTCATAAATTCTCTACAGAAAAATCTACAGTTTTTATGGGTAAATTTTAAAATGAAACGGCCCTCTTTTAATCATAATAGACCTATAGATATATCTGATTAATATCATTTCTACATACCCATACCCACACACGATGAACTGAGAGTGTTCTCCAAATTGCCTCTGACCAACCATTACATATGAATTCCAGGTGGACAAAATTCTGGAATGCAGGATAATCTCAGTGGATCAGCAGGCAAGGGGACGTGGTCTGGCTAAGGAGTTGATGTCCCGCAGCATAGACGTTGCTGTACAAAATGGATTTAAGGTAAGAGAGAAGCGGTAGGATAGGTGAACGATCTGATACAGCATTATCATCAGCCTGATTCCGTCCACTGCTGGACATAGGCCTTTCCAATTGCACACCACTGAGCTTGATGTTCAGTTCTTCTCATCCAACCACGCCAACCAACCTGATATTCGATGAACTCGCTCTTCACATCCAACCATTTCCAGCTACCGTACAGATATCATCAGTCTGATACAGAATCTAAATATTAAATAGAGAGGTATTTAATGATAAATTTCTTCTGTATGGGACATATTTGAATCAGGACCAGTAATCAATCTATAATATATTTTTTTAAGTAAATTAAAGTTATCTTGGTGAAAATTTGCATTCATTTTCTATTGTGGCTTTTATCTCCTAAGTCCAATAAAGATTCTGCATTGTATGGCCAGTTGTATCATCTTTTTTTAATTCTTTGGTTAGCTAGTCGTCGTCATTTATTTTCTTACTGTCGGACATGAGTTTCCCCTTCGTTTAATGCCACGGTATAGATCTGGCACCGCGCTGTCGGAACCCCTCTCTTGCTCCACTGACCTATTTATGTCACAGTAATGTGTATTCAGTAAATACTTATTACGATAGTCACGCAATTATTGTTTGTTATTTATCTATAACTTTTATTCTTCTCATTTACTTCGATAATATGATTAAAATTCTATGAGAAATTTTATTACCTATCTAGCAGAAGGCGCATCAGAAGTTGAGGTCAACGTTTAGATTTTCAAAATAATATGAAATTGTGTTCAGTGACATTTGACGACTGATTTATGAGTGTACAGTGGTTTTGAAAATCTGGATATGTTCATCGACTTCTGATGCTGACTGTACCTATGTTACCCATCCTCATTAAATAACACAAAATTTCATTTGAAAGCTTCGTGTATTTCGCTCAGTATCTCTTATTAGTCATTCATACAAACTGGACTCTTCGGTCACCTTGGTGTTCAATGCTCATTGCCAGAAAACCTGCTGCCTATGCTAAAAAAAAGCTTTCACTGAATTTCCATCACCGAAACTAATATCCATTTTTCATTTTTCCAGCTGTTTAAAGCGGATGCAACAGGTGCTTTCTCGCAGCGAATCTGCAGCTCCTTAGGTATGGAGGTGATCCGTACTGTCCGCTACGATGAATACCTCGACTCCTCCGGTACTCCTGTTTTCAATGTCCCTCCTCCTCACGAAGCCCTCGCTATCATGGTACGGAAACTACCGTGAAGGGAGCTAGAAGAAGTTCGAATATGAGTTTTTCAATTCCTTTCAATGTTAAGTACATTTTGTTTGGCTATGACTCTTGTCGGGATTTGTGAAAAAGTTGTCGCTTTCGACGTTTTTAATTTAAACCCGTGGTTGCGCTCGAATCGTAGTCGAAGGCCATACATTTTTGATAAAGATCTTTGCAGTATTCGATTATACTAATGACAATTAACAACTGATAAAGTACAGTGCAACGCTTGTATGTGTACCTAATGTCATTTTGTTTTACAACAAGCGTACGAAATCGAATAAATATGTACGAAAAATACGATAAGAAAACGAATAATTAAGAGTTGCATTAATTTTTGTGTAGTTCAACAATATGTTTTATTTACCTACATAGTTTTTTTTAGTGTATTATTGTTCCTAAAAGACCCATTAAGATAGGTCACAGTTCGAAATTGTATACGTAGGTACCGCTGAAGTATAAGCGAAAAAACTAGATATACAATAATTTACTCAAATATATTTCAAAATGGACCTAACATATAGGGACACAAGGTTTGTTATTGTAGAATGTAGCTCTATCTATGATCTCTATAAATATTATTTATTTGATAGTTGATGTTTGTACGATGTTTAGGAAATAGCATGATATACAAAATAAATAAAAATACAGCAGTATATACTACGATTACTTACAAATAAATATAGAAGACGATCAACGAAATACCAATCGACACATCCCAGATTTTGACAGCTGTCAAATGTGACAGTTGTCAAAATCTGGGACGTGTGAGTTGACAGCTAATCGGTTTATTTTAAAATCAACGTTCTAAAGCATCAATTTTCATAACTGTAATTCCATGTTTTTTTTTATTTAATATGGTTATTACTTATTAGCTGTCTTACATTTTGTATTAGCTTATTATTGCTGTATAACAAAGATGGACGCTAAAGTTATATTAGTAGGTGACTATATCATGTTATTTCTTGGACATAAAATTTTACGTATGTTAGATGTGGCTGAATTGATACGATTTATAAAATATAAAAGTGGAACCCCGGTATATAGTTCCAAGTAATTGTAGAAATTAAAATACATATGATGATTATTATTAAATTATATGTACTTAACCTACGTATATCTTTGTACTTATACTATATTTTCTATAAAAAACATTGCATATGTACTTGTCTTAAAAGGTCTTTGCTTAAAAAGTAAATATTATGTACCTTAAACTTATATTAAATGAAAATTATATGTATTATATTTGTCTATTTTTAAATACTCATATATAATATATATTCGTACTTTTCCCTTCAACTTTGTATTTAATTTTACTACATAAAATCTTTTTTATAATTATGCTACATATTTGTAGTACATATACATATACACTTCTGTAAACTGTAGTTACTATTAAAAGTTATAAGCATGATGTAATAATTATAATAAAAACTATAAAAATGTGTGTTTATATTACTAGCCGTAATTTAATAACCGACCTTAAACTAAAATCGATTTTTGACAAAACTCGATAGAATTTATGTCATAAATCGGTTTCCGTTCGTTTATTAATTTGAGCTTTAAAAAGACATAAAATATTAAAAAATGTCGCTAATGTATGTATTTATTATCTGTGTTAGTTATGTAGAAACTGTTGTTGAAGTTGTATTCAATATAACGATTAAAATAAAAATAATTTAAATTAGAAATTGTTTTATTTTCGCCTTGAGCATTGCCTTTTTAAAGGATTGAGTATCATCCGTTTTATAGCCATAAAAATGATAAATTTTAGCGAAACGTAAGTATAGGAAAGCCGTGTTTCGGTACAAATGGGTCGGGTCGACCGGAGTCGTACCACGGCCTCACAGAAAATCTGCATTAAACAACCAGAGCTTTAGTTACCGGAGGACCCATCCTTCCCCTCTTCAATATCCCCAAATCTCCAAACCCTAATCCCTAAGAGGGTGGCGCCAGTTGCTCACCATCAGGTAATGCGTCAGTCGTTTGCTGTCCTATCACATAAAAAATATATGGGCAGTTCAACACGCTAAATAGAAATAAATAAATTATTAACAAAACACTTTCAAGAGTTTAGAAAAATCAATGTTTTTTTTCAAAGAAATAAAATAGAGGTGTTAATACTAAAATGTAGAAAAAAAACTTGCAGCTTTAGAACTTCTTTTATCTTCACAGCTTTTTAGCTTATACACAGGTCACAACATAAACCCTCTAGCAGATTTCATTGAAACGAATTTATAAAAGCTACCGGTTCCACGCATTGCAAAACCTTCCCTAGTCTCAGTAGTTCCATTTTACAATAACAGATAGCGCTCTACAAGGTGAGGGGGTTTTCTGAATCGCGGTGGATGTAATACTACCCCGCGCGCCTGTGTAGTTATCTGTATGGCTTTACGGCCCTGTGACTAAGATCAGAATTAAGTATCTTCTTTTTTTTCTGTGGCAGGTCGGCAAACGAACAGACGGATTACCTGATGGTAAGCAATCAGCGCAGCCCATGGACATGGAGTTACTAGTGAATTACTAATTTTGGGGATTAGGGATTAGGAGATTTTAGGATTGGGGAGGCATTGGGGGTTTGGATGGATGGCGCCTCCGGTAACCTCACTCACGCAGCGAACACAACGTTGTGGTTGTTTCACGCCGGTTTTATGTGAGGTCGTGGTATCAACCCGGTCGAGCCGACCCATTTGTGCCGAAGCATGGTTCTCCCACACTTTATTTTCAGTGTTACTACTGAAAGTCCCTCACAGAGGGACAAGTTATGAAGGTATTTTTGAATTTTCAAGAGTTCAAAGTTTAATATCATAAATAATGGCCCCACTAAGTTAAGATGTACAGATCAAATTTTGCAATTACAAATAAAACTGAGACGTTCATCTGAAATCCAAGCACGCTGACAGAGTCCATACAACACCCAGTCCCGAAACAACAAATTCTGGATCACACAAAGAGTTGTTCAGTGCGGTAATCGAACCTACGACACGACGTTATGCGGCAGCAAGCCAGCCACCGCGTCAACCGTGAAGTCAATTCCAGACTCCTTGCAACTCTCGCCCCAACGAAAAGTCCTATGATAATTTTCCCTTTCTATATAAAGACTCTAGACGACAATATGTACAGTCAGCTCCAAAAGTCGATGAACAGAATCAACTTTCCAAAACACCTGTTCACAATAAAATGCCATAAGTTATAGTCACAACTAGGAAACAAAATAGCCTGTACATCAGAAATTTACAAAAGTCGGTAAACACGACTAATTCAAAAGTATCTGTGCACTATAGTATTCCTAAAGTCGCTGTACACCATCAATCCAAATGTCGCTGAACATCATTGTATCAAAAGTCAGTAAACAGCAGAAAAGTCAAAATTAGGTTAACAAAGTATATTTTTAATGTTGCACTGTGTTAATATAATTTTGACGCTTATGTTGTACAGCTACTTTTGGGACAGCGCTCGCTAGACCTTAATAATGTATTTTAACACGTTAGTATCCATTTCAATACTTATTTACACATCAATTATATTTATAACCGACTTCAAAAAAGGAGTAACTGCTCAATTCGATGCGTATTTTTTTATGTATGTACACCGATTACTCGAAGACGACTGGACCGATTTGCCAAATTCTTTTTTTATTTGATTGGGTTTACCTGCCATTTGGTCCCATTGTCATGAGATCAGAATCTGATAGAGAAATCGAGGGGAACTTTCAATAATTGCAGGGGCGAGTAGTTCTTTTGTATGATGTTTAAGTAGGTCTTTTACAACAGTATAACTTGACGAAGGTCGAAGTCGACCTGATGTTGGAGCTGGAAGACAGTCGAGGGATCTCCTTGACTATTTGGAGTAGTTGCCTTGTGTTTGAGCTTGAATGATTCGTATTGTCACTTTGCACCAGGCTTGGTCGTAACTGTCATTAAGGGTCTGATGATGAGAACGAAGGACAGGGAACTCCTGAACGGATTTATTTATTTATTTTATTTTATTTAGCAAAAAGTACAATTTTAGTTATAACATTTTGTTCTTATAATTAAAGATCCTCGCCAAACATAACGTTTAACGGCGAGAAGCGCTCATTTGTTTTACTTACTAGCTAATTAAGTACTTTATATAACATTAAAAAACAAAACTAAAATCAAAACAAACACAAAAAACACACATTACAAAGGATAATCATTAAAGAATGCATTGCCTATGCTCTCTTGAGCAATTCTCCCTTTAGCTTCTTCTTCAACATAAACAAACTCACTTTATTTTCCTCTCTCAATATATCTATTTTATTGAATATTTTTGGCACTATATATTTATTAGTTCTCTTACCATAGTAGTTAATTATTCTAGGTTTATTTAACATATGCTCTCTAGCCCTTCTGGTGTTATATTTATTCTCTACTATACATTTATATTCATTGCTATAATAATACTCTAATCCTATTAAATACTCAACTTTCCTATCTATGGGCAGTATTTTACACAATGGAAATAGTTTATCATAATCCTTATTGCAGATGTTTTTCTCTTTCTTACTCACTAAGTATTTTATCAGTCTTAATTGTAAATTTTTAATATCCTTTAAGTAAGTTTGGAAAGTACGCCCGTATACTAATAGACCGTAGCTGATAAGAGAGTCGGCAAGCGCGTGGTAAACCATCCTCATTGTGTCTGAGTTGACTATTCTGTGTATTTGGAAGAACTTGCCTAGCACTGCACGTAACCTATTGCAAACATCATTTACATGAGTTGAAAAGTTGAAGTTTTTATCAATTTTTAAGCCTAAATATTTAAAGTTGTCGACATATTGAATGACATCACAATTACATCCATGTTTGTTATTATGTAGGCAGTCGTATGTGTGTCCTATTAAATTAATATTATTTATGTTTGTATTTTTTGCACTTTGATTATATGGTGAGTGAATATGCATACATTGTGTTTTTTTGAAGTTTATTATTATCCCGTTGTCATGAGCCCATTTAGTTATGTTTTCGAAGTCTGTCTGCAAATATCTTTGTAC